TTATGCAAAAGTACAAAATATTTGAACAATTTTGTGGGTCACTGTATGATAAGTGATGATCTTTTATTGCTAAGGATGTTCACGATATATATATGTTCAATGTATGGATTCTATGAATGATGTGGAAGATACTAGTAAAGGGCTTCTAGCAATTGCCAGCATCAAAAGGAAAAGGGTTCTAGAAGGAACGAGCAAAAGCTAGGTCACGTGGTCACATGACCTACGACACTTTTAAGGCATACACTGTTTGCAAGGTAAAAACAATTCACCTGAGTATTCGAACCCATGACCACACCCCTGTTAGACTAATACCCTGACCACTGTTCCAGGTCTTTTGTCTTTGTATTCGATTGTGATCATTTGAGTGAAGCAGTTACGATTGCTTTATTGTTTGGATTTGTGAAGACTCCTTGTGATTGCCGTTTTTGGACTATTTGACACCCTCGCTACAAGCCTTACTGCCCTACGTCTCACTTTCGCCTTTTGATACTTCTCGGGTCGTTCTGAAAAATTACCCAAAGAAGTGAGTCAATTGTTTTGCCAAAATACCACCCATCCATCAAAACAAACGCATCAAGCGTCATCAGCAACTTACCAGCAACAGTTTGGTATCAACATCGTCCCGAGATTCCGCCATCTTGTCACCTAGTGTCGAAATGAGCAACCCGATTCCGAGTGTCGACATGGGACAGCAATTGCAGCAACTTCAGCAACTCCAACTAGATGGACCAACTCGTGCAGCTATCAGCATTCTTACCTCGTCGCTACAAGCTATGCAGCATGACGTCTCCACTATCAAACAGCTCCAGGAACAATATAATGAAGTCGTTGAGCAAAATAAGGCCCTGGCCGAGAAAAACTCTTCCCTTGAAGCTGAGGTCACTCGACTCCGACAGGCACTTGAAAAGGCCAAGACACCTGCTACTACCATGAATCCTACCGCCACAAAGCCTCCAACACTATCCGTTCCTCCTTCTACTGGTACTGCTGCTTCAACATGGGCTTCACTCACAGCGAAACACACACCTATTATGAAGCCACGCACCGTTCGTAAGATTGCAGCAGCTGCACGTCTCTTTTCTCAACCCGATCCAAATGCTGTCAAAGGCTTTGAATATGTGTACATCCCTCGCTCTCGACGTTTGACCTATCGTGAAGCACGTGCAAAACTTCGCACCCTTGGCATTGATACCTATCGTATCCTTGATATCACTTTCCCAGCCCGATCCACTATTGGTCTTTTGATCCATGCACAGTACCATGATGAGTTGATCCACACCCTTGCTCAAGCCAAAATTCGACCAATCAAGGATTTTGATCCCACAGACCCTGCTCATATTGCTGACCCCAAGCATGAACAGCTCAACGTTGAAGCACGTACAACCCTTGCCATGAATCTTCATCGTCAACGTTGCACTCGCGCTCTTCTTCGTATGCCCTACTATCTCGCTGTTAACGTTGGCAAGGCTTTTGTGGCTGATGGTATCATGGATCAAGACACACTCGAGGACACACTCAAGGATTGCGATGGTGCACCTGTTCCCCAAGATGATGATGACCGCGACAAGCCCACTTCCTCTTCGTCTTCGGCTATGGAGGAGGATGAACGTGAGCTGCTTGACTCTTACATCGGTGCCAATAAGGGATTATAATGAGTGATCATATGATCATTGATTATAATACCAACACCCAGTCCACTCCTTCAACAATACCGTCCACTCCTTCAACGTCACTCTCACTAGGCCTTTGGAATGCCACTGGTCTCAGCTCAACATCCATCCATGATCTCTTACGACACTGTCAATCTCTTTCACTTATCTTCATCACGGAGACATAGCTCCTCCCTCCTTCTCGTTTACACTCATCTTGGCAAGAATACCATCTTTATGGCACACCGGTCGAAGGCGAATATCGTGGATCTCAAGGCGTATCAGCATTGGTGGCACCCTCTTGTCCCTTTCCAGTGATGCAAATTCCAATCCACAACAAGTATGCCTTGGGTTTGCAATTAGGTCAATCGCTTCGTATCATATGCTTGTATCTACCACCCACCTTGGACTCATCCACTGTGTGTGATGTACTTGCAACGTTGCCTTTGACCCATGACACTATCCTTTGTGGCGACTTTAATGCAAGAATGGGTGACACTACAGGTGATCATGATACTAATACGCGGGGTACTTTGCTAAAGGAATGGTGTGAAGAACATGATTTTACTATCCTCAACAGCTTACTAGCACATGGTCAACCCACATTCCTCTCATGGCGCAATGGCAGAGAAATCAGCAGCATTGTGGATTACTTTCTCAGCAACTTCACCTTGAGCGACTCATCCATCACCATTCGCTCCGATTTATCACTCGGCTCAGACCACAAGCTCATGACACTTTCATTCAACTACACAGCACCACCACCTATCACCACCACCAATTCATCATCCAGTTGTCCACGTCGTCTATGGAACCTTTCTCGACTTCGTGAACCTGAGATTCGTGAATTGTACCAATCAACCTTTGCAACACAAACAGCTGAACTCAAAACACAACTTGAGGAATTGCGATCATCACCACCAACAACACGACCACCCATCGACAACATCAATGATCAACTCAACACAGTCATTTACACAGCACTCGACAAATCAGTTACACCACGACAACCACGCCCCAAGTATTGGAAGAAATTCTGGACCAAGGACTTGCAGGATTTAGCAGAGGCACGTGAACGGTGTTACAAGAGATGGCGAAGAGCAATTGGGATTGATAAAGTACAATGGTGGCAGCGTCACATTGAGGCTCAGGATCGTTTTCATCGCGCTTTACGCAAAGCAAAGAGGGAATCATGGAAAGTATTTTGCCAAAAGCTTGAACGGGGTGACTTTTCACAAGTGCTACATCGCATCAGTAGAATCACAGCACGACGTAAGAGTCAAGTTTGGTACACACATCCAGATGGCCCAGCAGCTGGTGCACAGGCAATGAGGGATCATTTGGCAGGAATTTATGCTGGAACCACTTTACCAACCATGCGACCACACCCACTCGACCATCAAGCACATCCTACACCACATGACCTTCTTAGTATGGATGCTGGTGATGGGGCATTATTGTTTCCCAGTGAAGACATCAAGACCATGATTACCACACTCCCTCGAAGAAAAGCCCCTGGTGCTGATCATTTGCGTGCCGAAATGATCATTCCATTACGTGACACGTTGGCTCCTCTTCTCTCTTTGTTGTTTGAAATTTGCTGTCAGTGGTCGTATACACCCTCTCTATGGCGCGTTGCTCAAGTGGTTCCTATATACAAGAAGGGTGATCCTACTTGCACAGCCAATTATCGTCCCATCTCGCTCACATCCATCATCCGCAAGCTCTTTGAAATCTGCCTCTCACCTGTTGTCTCTCATTTCTCGCCACCACTCGATATCGCTCAAGGAGGTTTCAGGCCACGGCGCAGTGCATTGGATCAAGCACTATGCCTCCATGATTTGATGAAAGAGTACAGCCATCGACACAGCCATCGCCCAGTTGTTGCTTTTCTCGATATCAAGTCAGCATATGATACAGTGGATCGGCGGATCATTTGGCAATCATTACTTTCAGTGACAGCTCCTTTCGCATTGGTATCTTTACTCGCTCACATGTTTGATGATGTCTCTATCACCGTTTTACTTGCTAATCATTGCTCTACACCCTTTCATCCAAGCACTGGTGTCCTTCAAGGTTCTGTCCTCAGCCCTCATCTCTACTCCATATACATCAACACGCTGCCTACACTCCTTCGGTCGGTCTCGCAATTGTACACCATCACCGTGCCATCCACTTCTCCTTCGCATCCACCTCCACCAACATCTACCACCACACATGGATTGCCTTATGGTCCCATTTTGGATACTGAATCATCACCAACCGCTACAGCTATCAATTGTCTCCTTTATGCCGACGACGTTGCTTTAGTTGGTTCCTGTTTGGAAGTACATCGTATGCTCAATCTAGCGCAAGAACACTCGTATACCCTTGGATATCGTTGGAGCCCATCAAAATGTGCCGTCCTCAATGCACCATCACCAACAGCATCCAACTATCACCCACTACGCCTCTATGAGCAAGACCTTCCTACAGTGGATGAATTCGTATACCTTGGTATTCCTTTTCAACGCACTGGTATTTCCACATCAGCCATCATCAAACATCGCACACCAGGCACCATTCTATCCATGTCACAACTTTCAGCTATTGGAGCTAATCGCTCTGGATTCTCGTTGCTTCTGTCAGCCCGTTTGTATGCTACTTTCGTTCGTCCCAAGCTTGAATACGGCCTCGCTATTGCAAAGCTTCAGCAAAAGGATTACAACGCTCTTGAAAAAGTACAAGCACGATGCTTGAGAATGATCATGGGAGCTCACAAAACAGCATCCACGATGGTACTACAACACATATGCAACTTGCCCAGCATGCGATTTCGAGCTGATACTTTGACCCTCCGTTATTGTGCACGCTACAATTGGCTACCTGATGATTGTCTTATCAAACAACTCTCTGCATCCCTCCCATTCTCAACGGTGCCAACACTACGATCACGCCGCATGGTTCAAGATTTTCCTTTTAACTCTGATCCACCACCTCGCATCACCACCTGGCTCAAAAATTATCGACAGCAACTGTTTGATACCTTTATTGCAAAGACGGATCGTACACTCATTCGTGCATGTCGCCCATCATTAAGGATTGATCCTATACTTCTGGTGCCTGCTTCTCGCCACGATCGTAGTCGTCTCATACGTTGGAGGATTGGATGGCTTCCTGGTCACCCAAAACCGTGTCCCTGTAACGATGGCAAAATGTCACGCAACCATGTCTTACGCTGTAGCCGCATACCATCCGATCTCTGGAACTCGCTACCTGTTCGCAACCATGACTCTGAACAACACGTCCTTGACTTCGCCCTCAACCAGCTGCCGCTCTCTCCTGAAGCCTCTTGTCCACGTTGGTGGCGTTCACTTTGCACCATTCTACAACACGTTGACATGCTCACCCATCCTGATGGCGATTTTACTGATGATCCTTTACCTGGTGACCTATGGGCTAGTGCCACACATCTACATGATTTACCTGATGAACTGGATTTCTGAGCTGAATGGTAGCCTCCCTCTCCCACTGCCAAAGCTATTTCGTGCACGTTGCGGAGATGGGACTACCTTCATGCAAAGTAATTCATAGTATTCTTGAACCGCTCTCCCCATCACATACCTTTTTTCTTCATTGTGTGCTAGAAGTTTTTTTGTCCAGGGTGATCTGTAATAATGTTCTATAGGACGCATACAAAGACACCATTAATAAACATATACATTTTCGACTGACCACTGTTCCATAAACCGAACAACCGGCAATGACACGATGTGTTGCTGGTTTTCCGCCCTCGCCTGCCCAATCGAGAAAAGCTCGGTCCTTCTTTTCTTTCGGTCCCGGATTGCCACGTGGGAACCGATCTTTCGGATTTTGCTGCCTTTATTTCTTTTCGCACTACACATTCATTCTTTTACTTATTTGACAGGTCCCTACACTTTCTGATGTTATATGCTTTACCCTTGTTATCTATGCACCCTTGTTATTCCATGATCTCTATTTAACACTAACACACAAAAGACAGGTCCCATGAAGACACCTTTATTATCATCACTATCCCCTTTACCTTTATTATCCATGTCATCCCAAAGGTCCCGAGCTATGTTATCATCATTTTGCTATCATCTATCTACTTTTCTTCTTTTGCTGAAGTTTTTTTCCATTGTTACGTATCATTACACGTGACAGCAGTTGTCAGTTCTTGTTTCCTGATTGTCCAGGGCTTGCCAAAAGAATTCAAGTAAAAGTATATCAAATGTACCTTCAAACTAATGCCGAAACAAGAAAGAAGTATCGAGGCTTTGAATAAGAGAAGTGACAAGAAGTTGTAAAATAGTTATGAAAAAGAAGTGTGTGAAAGTTATTATTACTGCATGGGCACTGAAAAGATACTTATATACTACAATATTACTACAGAGAAACAATACGAATGGGTGTGTGGAGAAAAGAAAAGTGTGGGAACAATAATGCAAGTGGTTGCTGTGGAGGTCAAGTTGCCATGGAACTAGAGGCCGCCGACTGAGAATCAAATTTGGAAGTGACTTGCGGAAGCCGACCAGGCTTGAAGCGGTATTTTGCACGCTTACCAGCTTCGCTTGCACCGACATTACCCCCTCCGAACTTGTTGCTCGTCATCGAGCAATGGAGGAATCGTGTTGCACATTTGTTCCAGCGAAGTCCAAAGAGTCATCAGGTTCGGTTGTTTGGCCCATAAGCTTATCCACGTCATCATCTTCAGGCACCAAATGCATACGAGCACGCCATTCAGCACGCGTCGTTCTTGGGTCAAACCATGGAGTCGAAGGCTCAGTGTCAAAGTTGACTTTTGCAAGGCGATCAGCATGTATCCATGAGTCCAATGGTTGTCCATGTACAGTCTCAAGCTTGTAAGTGCCAAAGTCGTTGTTCTTTGCCATGACAACATAGGGTCCTTTGAATCTTGGTTCTAATCCGTAACGGCCTTCATGCGTCAACTTCACGTAGTCACCGATATCAAAGTCCACAATATTGAGAGCCTTATCCCATCGTTCTTTATCCTTCTGACCAATGACTTGCATACGTTTGGTTGCTGTAGCGCGTATTTGATTGACTTTCTCCAATTCTTGAGCAGTAAGTTCAGCCATAGCACGAGGGTCTTTGAGCACATCATCTGATATATAGGGTCGTAGAGCATCACCAGGCAATACAGGGTCACGTCCATACGTCATGAAGAAGGGGCTGTAACCAGTTGTGCTGTTGGTCCTGATACGACAAGCAAACAATGCAGCATCCAGATAATCATCCCAAAGGTGGAGAGCACCATTCACATACTTACGCAACATGGTCTTCAACGTGCCATTCAACCGTTCACACTTTCCATTGGTTCGTGGGTGAAAAGCGGATGTCAACTTGTGATTGATATTAACACGTTTTGTATAGTGTGCGAGGACTTTGCTTGTAAAGCTTGATCCACGATCCTTAAGTATCTCCTTGGGACATCCAAACCTCATTACAATCTCCTCATACAAAAAGTCAGCTACAGCTTTGGCAGATGCAACATCAACAGCTCTTGCGATCGGATAGTTCGTGGTGTAGTCAACGGCTACTAAGATCCAGCGATTCCCATGTACAGTCTTCGGCAATTCTCCTATGAAGTCGAAATGCCATCTTGCGAATGCTTCTGGAACCTCCAACGGGTGCATGGGATCATGATGTGCACTATCTTTTCGGCTATTCATTTGACACTCTTGACATCTTGACAACCAATCTTGAATATCGGCCTTCATGCTTGGCCACCAATATCGAGTACGCATCAAATCAAACACCGTTTTTCCACCAGCATGCCCAAAGCCATCATGGAATGTTTTCACCTTGTCAGCACGATACACAAATGGCAAATACAATAACGCACCTCTTGGATACTTGTATCATCACCTCGCTTCGTCTTGATCCTTCGATACACCTTACCATTGTGCACAACAAAATGCTCCTTCTCTTGATCCATGAAATCAGACACATCCTTGGCCAAATCCTTTGCTCTCGATGCATAATAGAGTGGCCAATCTTGGCGATGTTCTTGAGGTAATGTGTTCATGGTTGCGTACAAGAATTGTGGTTCCAACATGTTATCTCCAGCCTCTGCATCATATGCCTTACGTGATAAAGCATCCGGTACGCTGTTGTCCTTTCCCGGCTTATACAAGATCTCTGGACCAAACAATTCGAGCTCGTTCATCCATCGCACTAGTCTTGGTGTCGGCTTGACTTGTGATCGAAGGTATTTCAAAGAGTTGTGATCCGTATACACTTGATATTGACGGCCTTCTAAAAAGCAGCGCCAAGTCCTCAAGGCATGCAATATGGCTAATAGCTCACGCTCCTGAGTAGGATAATTTCGCTCTTCAGAAGATAACTTGTGCGACTCAAATGCTAAAGGGTGCCAGGTACCACGATCATCTTGTTGCAATAATACTGCACCAACACCAACGTCTGAAGCGTCACATTCTACCCGATAGGACTTGTTTGGATCCGGTGCACGCAACACAGGGGCACTTGTTAATCAATCCTTGATAACGTCAAAGCTTGTTTGACATGCTGCTGTCCAAGTAATTGCTCTTCTTTTGGGGCCTGTGCCTTTGGTTAGATCGGTGAGTGGTGTGGCAATACTTGCAAATGATGGAATGAACCGCCTATAATGTTGAGCTAAGCCGATAAACTGACGAACTTCTTGTACATTCGTAGGTGGCTCCCATTCTTGTATCGCCTTCAATTTTCCTTCAGCTGGCCTTGTACCATCACCTGAAACTCTGAATCCCAAGAATTCAACTTCTTTTTGACCAAAGTGGCACTTGGATACATTGGCATACAACTTGGCCTCACGAAGCTTATCAAGTACCTTTCTCACATGTTGCACATGCTCCTCCAATGACTTGCTGAAGATTAGTATATCATCCAGATACACAAGTGCAAAGCGATCCACATAGTCACCAAGTACTCGGTTCATCAATCCTTGGAAAGTTGGCGGGCATTGCAAAGTCCAAATGGTAACACCAAGAATGAGTATTGTCCATAACGCGTATTGAATGCGGTTTTAGGTACATCCTCGTTCTTGATCCTTATTTGATGATAGCCCGATTTCAGGTCCAAACTTGTGAAGTAAGTAGCACCTTGAAGACGTTCCAAACACTCGTCAATACATGGGAGAGGGTGTTGGTTGCGTATGGTGACCTTGTTCAAAGCACGGTAATCGATACACATCCTCATACTACCATCCTTTTTCTTGACGAACAACACCGGGGCTCCCCATGGCGACACGCTAGGCTTGATCAATCCCAGCTTGAGTAATTCATCCAACTGCCTCCTTAATTCGTCCAACTCTAATGGCGACATCTTGAAGGGTGGCCTTGCTATGGGTTTTGCGTCTCCAGTGTCAATCACGTGCTCTATCTCTCTTGTGGGTGGCAAACCAGGTAAGTCTTCACGAAAAACGTCCTTATACTCATTCACCAATTTTTCCATAAAGGATGGGATATTCCTTGATCGAATGTCGGATTCCAGCAAATGCAGCATACACATAACATCGGGATCCCTTCTACGCACGGCTTTGCCTACTTGCTTATGCGACAACAAGTAACGAACACCAGAGTTACCCAAGTATCTTTCGGGTTCGAGTTCATGATCCTTGCCATCAACAACAATCGTACAGATATCAGTCTTCCAATCAACATATGGTGTGTATCCTGCCAGCCAATTTCTTCCAAGAATTACGTCGAATTTGGTGTCCAATATATATGCCTCGGTCTTCATGTCACAGCCTGCCATCACAAATGGGAACACCACTTTCTTGGAAATCGCCAATCGATGCCCGCCAGCAGTTTCAACATCGCGCGTAGATACATCCATGCTTACCAAATCCTTACACAACCTCGATGATACATAGCTTGCGCTAGCACCTGTATCAATCAGAGCCAAGAACTTCTTGTTCTTCATCCTGCCACCATACAAAGGTAACGATCCACCAGCATAAGAATTCAATTCTTCTAAATGACAACCGTCTTGTTGCAGCTTTTTCTCCTCGATGAGAGCGACATGAACAGCATCATCATCGTGTTGGCTACCCTCAGCTGCTTCCTCCAACTTATCCTTTGCCTCGCCTATTGGAGTATCACCAGCCAACCCACTGGAAGATCATTTGCACCTTGATCCAGAACAGCCCCACGATCCTCCAGCGACCAATTTTCTTCATGTTGAGGGGGTGGTTCATGATAGCACACACGTAATCCCCTACTTACGCATGTGCTTGTTGAAAATCCTGCTTCGTACCTTGTGCTTGGCCATTATCGTGACCAATCCTTTGTCGACATTCTCGGCGATAATGACCCATTTTCCGCAATGGAAACAACGTACACGAGAACGATCACGTGGTGCAGGAGCTACTGTATCCAACTCCATTGGCGTGGGTCCTTGAGATACATGCGTGTTGCGATGATTGTTGTGGAATCCAAATTGACCAAAGGGACGAGGATTGTGTACAGCACGTGCAACAAATTGTGCAGCTTCGTATGATTCCGCCAACTCGTATGCTTTGTGAAGAGTATCAGGCTTGTTAATCAATAGGTACAACTTAACTTGATACTTCAAGCCATTGGTGAATACAAAAAGTGCATCCTTGACATCCATCTCCGGCAACTCAAGCATTGTGTCTCGGAATACACGCACATACGAAGATACTGTTGAACGCTGTTGCAACTCCTGGAGCTTTTGTCGAGCCAATTGTTCAGCATTCTCTGGTTTGAATTCGGTACGGGAGGCATCGCAAAATTGATCCCAATCACATGGCGTAGCAACATTGATATCACCTTCCAGTTGACGCCACCACGTGACAGCACCATCTCTGAGCAGCGATACAGCAAACAATACCCGTTGATCGCCATCATGGATTTGCACCAAATCACAGTATTTTCCTACTGTATACAACCAAGCTTCCACCTTTCGAGGATTACGCTCACCATCAAAGGTATCCGGTTTGACGGGACGCAAAGCTGACAAAATACTACGATGATTACCTTGATCGACGTTGTGCATGATCTCGTCTTCCTGCTGTTGTTGGCGTTGCATCAACTGCTCCAACGACCTCATCATTGTCATCAAGGCTTGTTGTTCAAATGTCATATTGTCTGTATCCATGGTTACAGGTAAGTGTTGAAAAAGATGTTGTTATATAGTTGTTTTTGTTGTGTTTTGTTGTATGTTGTTGTCAATAAAGTTGAAGTCGAGTAATCAAATATTCAATGGTTGAGATGATCGAGCATCAGCTACCAGTTGTCAGTTCTTGTTTCCTAGTTGTCTCAGGGCTTGCCAAAAAGAGAATTCAAGTAAAAGTATATCAAATGTGCCTTCAAACTAATGCCGAAACAAGAAAGAAGTATCGAGGAAGCTTTGAATAAAGAGAAGTGACAAGAAGTTGTAAAATAGTTATGAAAAAAAAGTGTGTGAAAGTTATTATTACTGCATGGGCACTGAAAAGATACTGATATACTACAATATTACTACAGAGAAACAATACGAATGGGTGTGTGGAGAAAAGAAAAGTGTAGGAACAATAATGCAAGTGGTTGCTGTGGAGGTCAAGTTGCCATGGAACTAGAGGCCGCCGACTGAGAATCAAATTTGGAAGTGACTTGCGGAGGCCGACCAGGCTTGAAGCGGTATTTTGCACGCTTACCAGCTTCGCTTGCACCGACACAATTCCTTCATTTTCATGCGTGATGAGCCTGCCAAAGCAACAATGTCTCCGTAACCACGCCCCTCTAGGGAAATTTAACTACTCTACAGGTATTTTACAGTATTCAGGATGTGTGAGCACAGCATACGGCATCTCTAGTATCCTCCTACAGCAAGTAGCATTGGTTTAACTTTGTCCCATGATATCTCGTAATCACAATGGAGTTGAGAGCTCAAATCGCTTTCACAATGATTGTCAGGACCCAAAAATTATGTGCAGAGTGTAGGACGACCACCCGAGAAGAAACAATACCGTTACACCTTTTTTGCTATTTTATGGCTGATTTGTGGCTTATCTTACTAAGTGACTGCGATTTTGGAACCCAACCACGCACTCCGCCGTGCTTGGAAACCATATCGGAGTAATATTTTCTAACTCAGTTTCCTTTTTTATCTACATATTTCTATATCTATTATATATATATGTGGTGACCTATCTTTTCACTAATCCTAAAAGTGCTTGTTCACCAACATTACTTTGCCAATGCCCAACAATAAATCGCTTGATCACCAAAAAAACAGCTGCATCTACCAAAATTCTTTCTTCGTGTTCAACTTTCACTGCAACCTACTGTAGCCCTTTTAGTGGTACGGGGAATATAAACCTCATCCTCGCTTTCATCATCTGCGGCCAATTGAACCTCATTATCACTCGATGGCTCGAGGTTACCATCGTCATCCACTATACAGGATTTCCGAAAAGAAGTGGAACATGAGCATAATGATTTCGTGGTTAAGGTGATTGGTTTCGTGGGTGATGATTATTTGTTCCTGGCTAATGATAAGTGAGTTCGTGGGTGGTGGTTTTTGGTTTCGTCGGTAGCGCTTTTGGTTTCGTGGGTAGTGCCTTTTGAATTGGTGGGCAGCGCCTTTTGAATTGGTGGCGACGCTTTTGGTTTCGTGGGCACGGCTTTTTATTTCGTGGAGGATGACTTTAATTTTCGCGCAGGATGACATTAATGTTCGTGGGTAGCGCTTTTGATTTCGTGGGTGATCATAAACCATTCTATGCAACAGCGTACATCAATTAGCAAATCTTGTGCAATGTTGACCAGCAATGCAGCGTATGAAACGTTTATCGTCACCCACGAAACCAAAAGCGCCACCCACGAACATTAATGTCATCCTGCGCGAAAATTAAAGTCATCCTCCACGAAATAAAAAGCTGCGCCCACGAAACCAAAAGTGTCACCCACCAATTCAAAAGGCGCTGCCCACCAATTCAAAAGGCACTACCGACGAAACCAAAAGCGCTACCGACGAAACCAAAAACCATCACCCACGAACTCACTTGTCATTAGCCACGAATAAATAATCATCACCCACGAAAACAACAAACTTAACCACGAAATCATTATCCTCATGCTCCACTTCTTTTGGGAAATCCTGTATATATATAGTGTTAGTACCATTTCAACTAAGACATAATAACGTGTATCACACATACTCTCTACACGAACTTCGGTAAAAAGCCATTCAGTCTCCGGTTCCTCCCCATACTTGACACCTTCGAATGACACCTCCTTAAGGGCTTTAACCATGGCTGCCCACAGTTGTTGATTATTTTTGCGCCCCCCAAATGAATTCCAACAGACGCCAAGGCATAGTCGAACCAGTTCGGTGACGGGCACATACAACACGCTTAATGCCGCTCCATGTACCTGAACAGAAGATTAGCTTATGTATGAAACATTGATAAGATAGATCTATCTTCGATGGTATTGGTGAGGGTACCATCTGCAGCTTTAAATTCCTTCGAATGGTCAACCTTTTTATGGGTATACCCAAGTGGGTTACCATCTTCATCCCATGTTTTATCGATACCGTTATAAGCCCGCCATCGATCCGTATGGATTTGAGTGCCAGGGTTGATGTACGTCGTAAGCAAGGTGTGTAATGTGTCCTTATTGCGATAGGGGACAGTTGCAACGAATAGCTTGCGCTCTGGCGTACGCTCAACACCGCCAACAACCCAAACACCTTGCACCGAATGACCACGACCATACTTCATCTTACCAAAAAGTGACTCATCCACCTCTACTATAATTGGTGTACCATCGTCATTGACACCCCCTACCATAATATTAGCAAATGCAAGTGTACAGGATTTCCAAGATGAACAGGAACATGACGATAATGATTTCGTGGTTGAGGTATATGGTTGTCGTATTCTGGAGTCTAGGTTTGATAGGTAAAACCTAACCCAACCCAGATGACCCCTGTCAATGTTTATTTAGGAGCACAGACAGCACAAATAAAGATCTTTCTCCCTTTTTCGAGTCTCAAAGTATTTATCCTTGTTATCATTGCTATCAGCTTTATCACTGCTATCACATCAAATTCCACAATGGTTTCGTGGGTGATGATCTTGGTTTCGCGCATAATGATATATGAGTTCGTGGGTGATGGTTTTGGTTTCGTGGGCTATGCTTTTGGTTTCATGGGCGGCACTTTTGGTTTCGTGGGTACCGCCTTTATTTTCGTGCTCAGATTCAATTGAATTAGCGCTCGCAGAGAATGATTTCGTGGAGGATCATTTAATGTTCGTGGAGGATCATTTAATGTTCGTGGGGGATCATTTAATGTTCGTGGGGGATCATTTAATGTTCGTGGAGGATCATTTAATGTTCGCGGAGGATCATTTAATTTTCGCGGAGGATCATTTAATTTTCGCGGGTTGGCACATATGGTTCTTGGTCTGCTATCATGTTTTCGCACTGAATGATTGATAATTCGTGCGGATCAGTAAAGTGTTCATGCAGGGCTTCGTAATTCTTCGCATGTGGGTAGTCTTTATTCATGCTCTGGATCTCATTATACGTGTTTGCTCAAGTTTATTTCATTGGGGGGTGGGTCATAGTCATCTAGCAACGAGGAAGGCGGAGAGCCGTTTGCATATAAAAAAGGGGGAAGGTAACAGCGTACGAGGCGTTCCTTTCTTTACTTTGTCAAACTCAACACGTGTCCCGTTTACGTTTTCTCAACGATTCTATCGAACAGCGTCCATCAATCAGCAAGTCTTATGCAATGGTGACCAGCAATGAAGTGCATGAAGTGTATGAAGATAGCAAAGGCAATCAGGAAGTTTGGGAAAGACGTGCTGTTTTGTTTGTCTTGTTAGGGCAACCCTTTTTCTTTTCTCTTACCAATTACAACACGCGAACGACAATGGCATTGCACACATTGACCACGGCATAGTATCAAAAGGTAACATGACAGAGTTACGTGGAAGTCGACTAGTGCAGCTGACGAGAGAGTTGGACACTACAATATAGCAGCATATCAAAGCACCCTGTTGCACGATTAACAACAAGAGATACACCACCTTCCAGCATGATACGAACCGAGGTTATAGTACTGCGTATATAGAATCATACATTTGGATGTTGGATGGCAATAAATGGGATGGATCGGATTTATTACCAGAGCTTATGATATATGACGGCATGTATGATGATGCATGTTTTGTTCAATGAGTATAAATAAAAGTGTTTCAATACATATAGCTTTTTTGGAATAAGAACTTGATATCCTATATTTATTTACTACAATGACAAAGGCTAAGCAACAATCACCAAAAAGCATCTTGAACAAAGTTCAAAAGAAGTCCTTGAAAAGGACACCATCAGCACAGGAAATGAGAGCGGCGACCAAACGACTCCGCGCGTTGAGCTCAACAATTGCTGCAATGCAGGAGACGGTGGCGATGAAGGAAGAACGGGATCTTGTGTCGGCGATGCAGCATTTGAGGATCAGTTCCCCTTGCAGCTCCCCACCAGTAGCAAGGCAAGTTGATGAAGATGCGAGTGAGCAGTGTGAGCAAGCTGCCACTGGTGGCGGAAAAACAAGTGAGGAGTGTGAAAGCACTTCTTTCAAGACTGTGCCTTTGTCGATGATCATGGAGCGTTTTGTGGAGTGTCGTGTGGATTACGTAGTGCACCAACTAGATTACGTACTTGAATAATAAACAAACATACCAGCATTGTATTCGAATTGCTTTTTACCTCACTTCTGTTTTTGCTATAAGCATATCGATACTGTAACTCTCATCATGCAATCATCTCGCTCATACGTTCGCAATGGCAAAATTGTCAAGAGAAATCATCGTGTGGCAAACCATGCCTAGCGTATGGCACATGCCAATCTTGCAAGCCATTTGGGGTCACTCAACCTCCGAGAGTCTGTCGCCGATCACGAAGATGATCAAGGTACAGGTCCAAGAGTTGACAACACAAAAAGCATATGACCAAGTATTCAACTAATGTAAATGATCAATAGCACAAACTGAGTCGATGGATTTGGATACAGGGAATGCTAATGCATTCTCAAATATCCGCTATACAGCTGTTGAATCCAGTGATAGCGACATCGACAGCGACAGCGACCCAAGCATTGACGATGATGAAGAAGGGACATCTTCCCCAAAGAGTGCCATACATTCGTTGCTTGGCAAAATGAGCACTCATCCAGGTGTTCCTTCAACTGTCAGCAACAGTGCAGAGTCTTCAACTTCCCAAGCGAAGAAAACCACTCGACGAAGTGGCCCCAACTTGACTGATCAGCAAGTTGATCAAATCCTTGACCTTGTTGTTAAGCAAGGAAAAAGCCGTCGTGATGTTGGGGCTATGTTTAACAAGTCGGCATCCACGATCGGCAGAGTTGTCAAGAAGTATAGAGAAAGTGGAACAGCTGTTGTGTCTCAAAAGGGACGCACAGCTCCCACTAAAATCGATGAAGAAGGCAACTCGTTCCTCCGACATTTTCTCTCAGCCAACAACACAGCTACTCTGGATCAGATTAGCCATGCTTATGAGCAAGAGTTTGGCATAAAAATCGCCAGCAGTACGCTACATCATCATCTTTGCCACTCAATGCGCATCACTCTCAAGGGTGCTGGCAAGTATCCCGAGCGACGTACAGATGATGAGACCAAGCAGTTGCGAGCAGAGTTTGTGCGTACGCACATCGAATCAGGTGTCGTTGATTATAAACACAACTGTGTTCTCATTGACGAAGCCTCATTCAATGCAAGCATGCGGAGAAATTATGCATGGTCCAACGCAGGGGATCCTGCACATGTTCACGTACTAATCCTGCGTGCTCCATCAACGACACTTTTGGCAGCGGTTAGCAACGTGGGGCTTATTGAAGTTGCAATGAAAGTATGCCCAAAAAATGATGGGGAGAAGGGCACAAAAAAACCCGTTAAAAAGGGTACCACAAAGTAAAGCGTTTTAATGATCCACGTATATGAGACTAACGGCTTTTATGTAGCATCGATTTTTTGGGATTTGTGAATTTGGTGATGGATCAACTAGATGCAAGAGGCTATAGTGGGTGGTACTTGATCTTTGACAATGCCCCCATTCATACGCCGCAATTCATTGCCAAAGAGATTGAACGACGTGGTTACCATATGCTCCTCTTGCCGAGATACTCGCCTTTTCTCAACCCTATCGAAGAATTTTTTTCAAAGGTAAGATCTCTGATACATCCTTTGTGTTTATGATTACATAACAATTGTTGCAGGT